GTCCAGGTAACCTGGTATCGACTACCGTGTGGGTGTGTGTGTGTGTGTGTGTGTGTTGTATGTTGAGAGGGATCCTCAGCCCACAACCTTGTACATGTAGCTCGTGCCGCACGTTGAGATTTCGTGGCGAGTTTTACTCGCATATGTAAGTCACCTACCTGCCTACCCCTTGCTTGCAGCCAGACATGATCCGTCGCGTGCGAGCAATCAGGGCTTCTCGTCAGTCCTTGTCGACCCATCTCGCTCTGTAAGGGATGACAGGGAGGATGGCGGGGGGGAAGGGCCATTTTCGATATCGCAGGTTTCTGGTTCAGGTCTCACGCTTAACGTGGGCGTCGAGCATGCCCTTAGCAAGCATGATCCGTCTGCCAGACCCCAGCGTCGAGCACGCCCTGCGTTCCCGATTCGCGTGGCTCTGGACAGATCCTATGGCACAATGAGTACCACCCCCGGTCGGAATGCCGTCCAAGACGACAGACAGCAGCTGCTGCAGCGCGTGAAACAGGGTGCCGAGAGCAGGCCTCGCGCGTCAGGACGGCGAGACTGGAAAAGGCAAGAGGCAACAGGTGGTGTTCCATTGATGGCCCTCCCCTCCTCCCCCCCTCCCCTTCTCTTCTCTTCCCCTTGGGCGTTGTGCCACATTCCGCTTCCGGCCTCATTGTGAGATTTGCTGTGGAGGTTGGGCGCGGAAAGTTCGGCGTGGGCGCGCATCTTTGCTGCTGCGGTCTGAAATGGCGTTATGTACCTACCTACCTAGGGGTGAAGCAGGGCGCTATTCCAACGAGCGACGCCTGTCTGTGCTGTGCTGGCGGGGGCCCTGGCGCGACGGGACGCCAGCCAGGCCAAACAGGTCAAGGGATGCTCATGTTTCGTTCGCTGAGAAGAAAAGGATTGGCCGTGTTGGTAAATGCCGCGTCTGACAGGGGAACTTGTGCGGTCTGCGTGCATGCGTTCTTATTTCCTGGCCGAGGCCATCCCCTGATCAGGGAATTGGAACACTTGATGCCATTGATGCCAATTGGGGAATTGATGCCAATTGGGGCAGGCAGCGGATGCTAGGAGAGGTGCTCTGTCGTGTGTCGTTGGTGCCTTGGGAGCTTGTGTGATGACGCGAAGTGATAAGATAAGATAAGATAGGCGCCCCGCAGGATCCGATTCGTTTGTCAGCCGCCTTCGCGACCTCACCTCAATTTTCATAGTGTGTCTATACCTACCTACCTCTGATGAGCCGTGACAAGCCTTGACGTTGCCAATATCAAGACGTAGGAAAGAGCAAGTCATCACAACACAACCACGATGACGAGTCTCAAGCGAACCCTCGATAGGGACCCTGCTGCGTCGAACCTGTCGAGCAAGGTCTACGTGCGGTCCACCAAGAGCGGCAAGGTTCAGAAAATCGTGCGAGAGGTCTACCTTCGTCAAGATATCCCCTGCTCATCAAAGCTGTGCCGACAATGCCATCTGATCGCGCCCAGGGATGCCTCTGGTAAAGGTGAGACGTCGTTCTGTCTGTTCGGAGAGCTTCACAGACTGACAATACACAGCCCAGCCGTTTGTGCTGTCTGATAAGCCGGCAGGCACCAAGGCCTTCCCTCAAGGTCATTACATCATTCCGGATACCAATGCCCTCCTCAACGCCATGGATCTGTTCGAACAGAGCTCGGCCTTTTACGACGTCATTGTCCTGCAGACAGTCCTCGAGGAGCTCCGCAACCGCTCCCTGCCGCTCTACAACCGCCTCATCGGCCTCACCAAGAGCGAGGACAAGCGCTTCTACGTATTCTTCAACGAGTTCCGCCTCGAGACGTACATCCATCGAGAGACCAACGAGACGGTCAACGACCGCAACGACCGCGCCGTGAGGCGGTCCGTCAAGTGGTACGGCGAGCATCTCGCAGAGCACGGCTCGGCCACCCAGCCGCCCGCCGTGGTCATGCTGAGCGATGACCAGGACTGTCTCCGCAAGGCGAAGGCCGACGGCCTCCACGGCATGTCTCTCGCCGAGTATGTCGGGGGTCTCGAGGAGGCCGGCACGCTGCTCGACATGGTTCCCGACCTGCAGAACGCCGGATCCTTCAAGAAGCAGGAGGGTCCCCTGTACCCGGAGTACTACAGCATGTCCAAGATGATGACTGGCACCAAGGCCGGCCTCCTGCACCAGGGAATCTTCAACGTCTCCCCGTACAACTACCTCGAGGGCTCGATCAAGGTGCCGAGCTTCGTCAAGCCGCTCCTCATCCTCGGAAGGGAGAACATCAGCCGTGCCATCAATGGTGATCTTGTCGTCGTCGAGGTGCTGCCGAAGGAGCAGTGGAAGGAACCTTCGACCAAGATCATCGAGGAGGAGACCATCACGAGGAATGAAAACGCCGACGATGAGGGAGGATCCGATCTCGTCTCGGCACGCGAGCGCAAGGCGCTGCAGGAAGAGGTCAAGAAGACGCAGAGCCACAGCACCGAGGGCCGTCCTCAGCCGACAGCAAAGGTTGTCGGCGTCATCAAGCGCAACTGGCGACAATACGTCGGCCACATCGACCCCTCCTCCACCAGTCAGAGCGGCACCCAGGGCCGCCGTCAGGAGAATGTGTTCCTCATCCCGATGGACAAGTGCATCCCCAAGATTCGGATACGCACGAGGCAGGCTGCCGAGCTTCTCGGCAAGCGACTCGTTGTCACGATTGATGCCTGGGAGCGCGACTCGCGACATCCCGTGGGCCATTTCGTGCGTTCGCTCGGAGAGCTCGAGACGAAGCAGGCCGAGACGGAGGCGCTACTGCTAGAGCACGATGTGCAGTACAGACCTTTTCCCAAGACAGTGCTGGACTGTCTGCCCAAGGAGGGCCACGATTGGAGGGTGCCGACGAGCCTGGACGACCCCGGCTGGAGGGGCCGCGAGGACCTTCGGTCTCTGCTCATCTGCAGTATCGACCCCATCGGATGCCAGGACATTGACGACGCACTGCACGCGAGGAGTCTGCCCAACGGAAACTACGAGGTTGGCGTCCACATTGCCGACGTGTCCAACTTTGTCAAGCCCTTGACGGCCATGGACAACGAGGCGAGCATCCGCGGCACATCAGTCTACCTAGTAGATAAGCGCATCGACATGTTGCCAATGCTCCTCGGAACAGACCTGTGCTCGCTCAACCCTTATATCGAGCGCTTCGCGTTTTCCGTCATCTGGGAGCTCGACGAAAACGCTGACATGGTCAATGTTCGCTTCACAAAGTCTGTCATCAAGTCAAGAGAGGCTCTCAGCTACGAAGCAGCGCAGCTGAGAGTAGACGATGCCTCGCAGACGGACGAGCTCACCCAGGGCATTCGGATGCTGATGAAGTTGTCGAGAAAGCTCAAGCAGAAGCGTATGGATGCCGGCGCCCTCAGCCTGTCGTCGCCCGAGGTCAAGGTGCAGATGGAGTCGGAGACATCTGACCCAATCGACGTCAAGACGAAGGAGCTTCTGGATACCATGTCACTGGTCGAGGAGTTCATGCTGTTCGCCAATGTCAGCGTCGCGGCCAAGATTTACGAGGCGTTCCCGCAGACGGCCATTCTCCGCCGACACGGCGCGCCGCCCAAGACCAACTTTGACGAGCTCGCCAACCAGCTCAAGGTTAAGAAGGGCCTGGAGCTCCGCGTCGACTCGAGCAAGGCGCTCGCCGACTCGCTCGACACGTGCGTCGACCCGGAGAACCCCTTCTTCAACACGCTCGTGCGTATCATGGCAACGCGCTGCATGATGTCGGCCGAATATTTCTGCTCCGGCACCCAGACGTACGACGAGTTCCGCCACTACGGCCTCGCCTCGGAGATCTACACGCACTTCACCTCCCCCATCCGCCGCTACGCAGATCTCCAGGCCCACCGGCAGCTCGCCGCCGCCATCGGGTACGAGGCCGTCCACCCGGCGGTCCGCTCCCGGGGCCGCCTCGAGGCCGTGTGCAAGAACATCAACGTTCGCCACCGCAACGCGCAGCTCGCCGGCCGCGCGAGCATCGCGTACTACGTCGGACAGGCCCTCAAGGGCCGGGAGGCTGAGGAGGACGCGTTCGTCATGAAGATCTTCAGCAACGGCTTCGTCGTGCTCGTGCCGCGTTTCGGCATCGAGGGGCTCATCCGGCTGCGAGATCTCGCAACGCCGGAGCCCGACAGCACCTTTGACGCGGACAATTACGTGCTCGAGACGACGGGCAGCCGCGAGGTCAAGGTCGAGCTGTTCCAGAAGGTCAGGGTCAGGGTCCAGGATGACATGGATGAGAGGACGGGCAAGCGGGGGGTCAAGATGGAGCTTGTCACGGCGTAAACTGGGACGAGAGGTTGCAAAATCAAAATACCAAGCTTGGGCTGTTCTGTATCACTGAAGCACTGCTCTCATCTTCGAACGCCACTTGTGTCCCATCTTGCGAACCATCCAAGAGGGCCAGATGTATGAACTGATGCCGCCGACGGCCACGGTCTCTGTCTCTCGCGTTGTCCCAGCATTCAACTGTGGTAGTTCACCCAACCCAAGAGCAACCAGTTCGTGACCCCATCCGCATTTCCGCATCTCCGAGCGTCCTGTCCACCACGTGGTGTCCTGCCAACCCTGTTTGACAAGGAGGGGTATCCTCGTCACCCTCCCTCCTCAAGCCTCAACAGGCTGTGGACTACCCTGTGTGTTGCCAGGTGAACGTTATACGCAAGGGGAAGCGTGTGTTCAGACCTCACCGCCAGGGCTGCATCTGCAGCACGGTCTTCAGGGCGGAATCATTCAGGTGGACGTGCTATGCCTGCCACACGTGCTATCCCTAGATCCTTTCGGCAGCTACTCGCGCATAATATTGATCCGCCAGAGCAAGGGGCGGTCCACTGCAGTCTAATCCTCAGGGCTGCATCTGTAGCGTCTCTCGCATGCCAGGACTACCCAGGTTGAAACATGCCACCCTTCCCCCCGTTCCCCTCGCAAGGCACGGCATCCCTGGGGTCTCTAGCTGGTGAGCTTCAGACGGAAGGTTACCCCTTCGCCCATCATCTTCCACCTCCGAGCACAAAGGGCGGACTCATGTCGTCTCCAGGGCTTTGCCGTTCATGCCAGGGACACGCCAGACGAGCGTACTGAACCCCTGAGACACTTGGAAGGCGATCTTTCGAATGGTACCCTCCTCCCACGATGTTCACTCGATGGCACAAAGGGCGGGCCGAACTCATCATGAGGGCTGCGACAGTGGTGGTACTGTTCATGCGAGGAACATGTGCTTGCTACGCGTGTTATCATCCCTGAAGCCCATGGTCCTTAGCTGGGCGAGCTCTCGAATGGCACCCTTACCCCCCCCCCCCCCCGCCCCCTGCCATGATGTTCACCTGTTATTACAACCGCCGAAACTTATCCCCTACCCTACTTAGGGCTGTATCTATAGGGGTCCTGTGCCTGCCAGGAAGACCCCAGGTGAGCGTAGCATATCCCTCGCAAGGGAGACTCTGTCGGGGCCAGGGGGAGGGAAACCCCTCTGCGCATAACGTTCATCTACCAGCACAAAGAACCGTCCAATCTCGCCTTCACTACGCCGTCCATAGCGTCGCTTTCACACACCAGGGAACACCCCAGGAAAGATGAAAAAAAAAGTGGTAAAATGACCTAAACCCTCTCGCAAAACCAAACCATTGTATGTTCTGGGTCCTGGCAAAATGGAGGGGTTT